ATAGAAAACACACACACCAAAGATTTTTTTAGTTTGATAGTTTGAACGATCCTTGTTTTCTGTAAAAGAGTGAGATAGGAGGGATCAGTACAAACTTGGATTCTTACCCGCTTCCATTTGGTAGCAGCATATGGACTGTAGGGAAGCTTCTGTGTGTTTCCTCAAGATGAGTAATCTCAGGAGGAATGTCATAGGGAGAGGGGGTGGGGATGGGGGTGGAGAGATGGGGGGAACCCTGTTCTTTTGTTACATCTGGCAGTTATTACTGTTTACAGACAGTGTGGATTGTACCACTCCCCCTGTGCCAGAGACAAAACAGAAAATTACAGTGTTTACTTTTGTCTTTTTATCCATTTGGTAGCCCAGTAAAGTCACTGCCACCCCTACTGGCGGGAAGTGGCTCTTCTCTAAGGGTACAATTAATGCTAGCTTACCACCCCTTTCTTTTGTGTGACTAAATTGGAGGTTTGGGGAAAGCAGAGATATGTTCTCTGAGGCAGTTGCTTGCTGATAGGTCCTGTGGCTTTTGTGACCTATGCCACAGTGATTTTCTCCAGATGATTACTGAGGGGAATGACTACCCCACCCATGGGGAATTTCTCTGTATTCTGAGCAGAGGAGGGTGTGTTAGTGTCAGAAACTTTGTGAGAAACAGGCCAGTAGCCCAGCCCCCTGACATGAATTCATCTTACTCGTTGTAACACATGGTTTCCTCCCAGCCTAATTTGACTTTCTAAATTTAGTCCTCCATAATGGGAAGCAGAGATCTTTAATTAATGGATTAGCAAGTTTTTCAGCAGTTACTGTGTATGGTGGTAAAAGGGGGGTGGGAGAATCACACTAATGGGCAATAGTGACAATTTTAGGTGGAATTTTAGGCAAGAAGAGTATAATTGTGAGAGTTTGAGATGGAGGGAATGTCAGAAGAGCAATTGAATAAAGTTAGTTAAATTTCTTTTTGTGTGTGTGTTTTTGTTTGAGACAGGGTCTTCCTATGTAGTCCAGGCTATCCTTGAACTCAAGGCAGTCCTCCTGCCTCAGCCTTCTGAATGCTGCAATTTACAGGTATGTGCCACCACACCTGATAAATTAGTTGAATTTTTTGATAGCAATAATTCATTTTACTAGAAAGAACTCTTATTATTGCCTATGTATCATAATATAATTGTTGGACGCTAAAAGCCTAGAATGTAAAGGAGAGCACGAAACGGTGTGTGTGCATATTTAGTAGAGTTTTAGGACTCAGAACAAATGCCAATGGTTAATGTCTATAACTGGGATGAAGTTATGCATTGTTGTATTCAGTAATTCTGTGGTAGGAGCAGTTGTTTTTGCCTGGTGCTTCTGCTTCTCTTGAGGTTTTATTTTCCCTTTCATATATGTATTTTTTTAATTTTTTTTTATTGTATGTGTACTAGTATATTGCCTGTATGTAGGTAGGTGCACCCGTGTTGTGCAATGCCCACAGAGGTCAGAAGAGGGCATCAGATCCCCTGGAACTGGAGTTACTGACAAGTTGTTAGCTGCCACGTGGGTGCTGGGGATTGAATCTGGGTCTTCTGCAAGAGCAACCAGTGCTTATAACCTCTGAGTCATCTTTCCAGCCCCTATTTTCTCTTTTATTCTACTTTCATTCCTCTCTTGCTCACCCTCACTCAAGCCCGTGATCTCACTCGATTTTCTCTCATCCACTGACCTCTTCCTCATTTTCCATTGTCTGTTCCACACTTCCCTCTGCACTACCCTGGTCTATTTTCCTCAGGGGTCTGAGGCTTCCCATTGCTTTCCTACTACTGTTTCATAGTCTCTGTCCTCTTTTTCTTTTTTCTTCTTTTTTAAAATCATTTAAATTACATTATTTGTGTGTGGGGAAAGGGTTGGGGAGATTGGGGAATGCTCCTGCATGCCACAGAACATGTGTAGTGTCAGATTACAACTTGTGGTAGTCAGTTCTCTCCTTCTACCACGTAGGTCCCAGGGATTGAACTCAGATCATTAAACTTGGCAGCAAGCACCTTTACATACTGAACCATCTAGTTGCTCCCTCCCTTTCTCTTTGAAACAGTGTCTCATGTAGCCCAGGCTGGCTTCACACTCCTGTGTATGTAGTGATATAGGATGACCTTGAACCTCTGATCCCCCTGCTTGTACTTCCTGAGTGTTAGGATTCCAGGCATGTGCCACCGTATCTGGCTTTCTTGTCCTCTTGGTGAGTTGACTATTTTATCATCACGAGTAATCTCTCCTGTCCTTTATTGCCATAAATTTTACTTTTTTTTTTTGGTCTTTTTGGGACAGGGTTTCCCTGTAGCCCAGCTGGCCTGGAACTCACTATGTAGACCAGGCTGGCCTCGAACTCACAGAGATTCACCTGCCTCTGCCTCCCAAGTGTGGGGATTAAAGGTGTGCGCCACCGTGCCCAGCATTATAGATTTTACTTTTATATATGTCATACATCCCAGACTGCGTTGCTATTATTTTTGCTGACTCAGATGACTATTGTTTTTTTTTTTTTTATTTGAGAGAGGATCTGCCTGTATAGCTCTGGCTAGCCTGGAACTATCTATCTGGACCTGGCTGCTTTGAACTCACATCACCTTACCTCTGCCTCAAGATGCTGGGATTAAAGGCATGTGGTTGTTCCTAAAGCGTGTATGTTTGGATTAGAGATTATGAGATTAGCTTCTTTTCTTTCTTTTTTTAATTACATTTTATTTATTCATTTATTATTTTTCTATGTGTATATGTGCTCACTCTTACTTATGGAGGTCAGGAGGACAGCTTAACAGGAGTCTTCTACCATGTGGGTCCCAGGGCTGTAACTCCAGTTGTCAGTGCTTTTACCCACTGAGCCTCCTTTTCTTTTATTGACTGAGTGGGGCCTTCTGGATTCCTGGTTCTATGTGTTTGTACATGGAGTATACAGTGTGATGAAGAGTAGCAGGTGTTAAGGAAAGCTGCAAAATACAATGCTACATCCAGTGCAGTTAGAGCCCATAATAATATATAATATTGCATTCAGTGAATACAAGTGTGGCTATGGTGGATCCACCCACTCCTTGGCTGGCACTGCCTCTCAAATGTTGGAATGCCTGTGTTTTCAATGTTTCTTTTCCTTCTAGTTTTATGGATTTGAGGGAGGTGTGTGAAACTTATGACAAATATACTTATGTAGATATATGATTTCCCATACATGTGTTGTGAATTGTAATAGAATTTATTTATAAATAACACCATAAGGCATGTAAGATTAGATTGAACATCCAAAAGCCCTTGAGTTTCTAGAAGGCACTCAGATAGGGTCCAGTTGCTTTTTTTCGTTTGGAATATGGGCATTTAGTATCACCATACTTTGAGTGCTGATTTTTATTCCTGTGCTGTTGGACTATGGTTGCTCTTTGTTTTAGGGAAAATTGGCAGAAGTCCTTAAAATTTCCACAATGAATTCCCAAGAAGTAGGTGTGGAATATGAAAAGCCAGTTGTATTAGTTGGGGTTCAGTTCCACTGATATGCTTTTCCTACATTGGTTTTGCAGCTACAAGCATTGACCTACTCCCTGCTGCCACCTATTTATATAGTGCCTGTCACCATGGTATCTGAGTATGTGGGGAATATATTTAGGCTGACTTCAATTAGAATATGGAAAGAAGTCCTATGTGTCTGCATTACTCTCCTTTTCAGGAATCATCATTTCCCACCAAGATGTAGAAAGTTTGGAAATTCTCCTCTGACCTTTAAACACTCATATCTTAGTCTTAGTAAAAGCTTAGGTCCTAAAACTCTCCCCTGACAGAGACAGAAAACCGGGCTTTACAATGGGATCCTAATGAGACAAAGTTTATCTGTGAGACTAGAATGAAAGCAGGGCTCTGTATGTCCAAAAAAAATGTCAATTTGTATTTTCATAATTTGCATATAGCTTCAAAGAGTTCCTGGACACTCTGAAACTCAGCCATGATCTCATATGAAAAAAATCCCTGTCATAGGGCTGGAGAGATGGCTTAGCAATTAAGAACACTGGCTGTTCTTGTAGAAGATCCAGGTTCGAATCCTAGCACCCACATGGCAGCTAACAGTTGTCCATAACTCCAGTTCCAGGGGATCTGACAGCCTCTTCTGTCCTCCATAGGCATTGCCTGACATAGGTGCACTTACCTACATGCATGCAATACATGCATACATATAAAATAAAAATAATAAGTAAGATTTAAAACAAAAAACCTTGTCCTGATTTTGTGTGTCATAGCCTCTTGGTGAAATCTTCTCACAGATCATCTTAGTGTCTAGTTAAACATCTTTTTCTTTCTTTACTAGTCATAATACATTCCTATGGGGACTTTAGCCATCTTTTCTCTGAACTCTTTGAGGCTACAGAGGGTACCATTTTCTTTACTGTCTAATTTCCTGTGTGTTTTTTTTTGTTGTTGTTTGTTTTTTGTTTTTGTTTTTTTGAGGCAGGGTCTCCCTGTAG